CTCGCGGGCCTCCTGGGGCTGGTCTGCACCTGCCCCCCGCCGCCTGCCCTGGACTGAACCCTCCGTGCGTTCCAGGCTGAAATCGTCAAGAGGCTGAATGGGATTTGTGCCCAGGTCCTACCCTACCTTTCCCAAGAGGTGAGTGACCCTCCACCCCCCCAAGGGCTGCTGGGAGGAGGAGGTAGACAGACCGTGGACTTGCCCCAGGCCCTCCCCGCTGCAGCCCTCAGGCAGCGCGGAGCCGGCTGCCCCGACCACACACCTCCCCTCTCTGGACCTCCCAGACACCAGCCTGGCCTGTGCGGAAGAATCCCCAGGCTGGAGCAACCCCCCGGGGGTGCAGGGCAGTGGAGGGAGGGGCCTCCCCCTGCTGCAGCATTCCCAGCTGGAGTGAGTCACTTCACTGGTGAAAATGTCAGATATGCCCAAGAGTTGTTCCTGCCTGTCCTGCTTCTGCCTCGGACCTTCCTGAGGTTTGTCTGCCAGGCCCCGCGGGCCACCTCAGGCCACAACACCAGAAGCGTGTGTGTGTGTGTGTGTGTGTGTGTACGGGGAGGGCACTCAGCACACGTCTGCAGACGTGCACGCAGACGTGCACAGACGCGACACCCAGATACACGAGGCACACACATGCACGTGTGCACGCAGATGCACGTACGTGCAGCCACGCAGAGACCCACAGGTGGACACATGGACACACGCACGCGCCCTGGGGTACCGGGCTCTCACTTCTGCTTTTTGAGATTTTAAGACTCTTGGTGTGAGACCCGCTCCGCATTCCCCGCCCCTGCCAGGTTTTGCTGTCGATAATTCATTTCCTCTTTAAGCCCAGACGATCTTGGGGCCCTTGGGGAACCTGCGTGCCCAGGGACAGTTCCAGAAGGACACTGTGAAAACCCCAGAGAAAGGGGTTCTTGGGGCCTGGAAGACCTAGACTTGGGCTTTCCTTTCATGACGGGGGCTTCCTGGGAGGCAAGGCAGAAAGAGACATTGGCAGATTGTGGCGTCTGACGGCAGAAGAGACGGACGTTCAGGGAGTGCTGGGGTGTGGAGGGGGCAGATTGCTCTGGGGAGGGATTGCGCCGAACCGAGACTCCTACTCCGGCACTGCCAGAATCCTCCGGGCCTTCCTCAGCTATGGAAGGAGAGGAGCTTGGATTAGCAGGTGTTCGACCGCAATCTGCAAGATCTTAGGATCAAGACTTGCCTGTACAGTTGGCCGCGCTGTGCACTGTGCATCTATTTCTTTGTAGGTGGCAGATCCAGGGTGTCTCTCAGACTCACCCAGTGTCGTTTTCTTAAGTATGTTTGGCACTGGCTGAGGCTTGGTACACAGAAGGGGATGGAGAGGGGTTTTCTGGTGGGGTCGAGAGCCATGGGGGTTGGGGGGGGGGCG